GCAGCCACAGGCTGGGGTCTGGGGCAGGAGGAGCAGCCTGGTGCCCTCGGGAGGGCTGCGGGGACTCGGCGTCGGTCACACTCAGGGTTCTGGTCTGCACCAAGCACCAGAAACACCTTTAAAACAAAGGGCACGGGTGGATGGTGTAGAGCAAAGACTCATTTTGTGGGTATTAACGTTTTGTTCCAGAGATCTGACAAAATAGCTTGTGCTCCATGCTGAAAATGGCCTTTCCCTGGGCACAGTGGCTGCAGGGAGGCTGTGACCGAGGTGCTGTGCGTGCTCTGCTTGTTCCCTTCCTGCCTGGGGGAGAATTGCCCAACACAATAGATCCTGGGAGTAGATCTGCTGGGTGGTTCTCAAAAGGCCACAAATAGAGGCTTTTAATATGTCATTCTGCAAGCTGCCTTTTGAAAATGGCCTTTAAAATATCAGAAGTGATGCTGACAGAATTTCAAACCCAGGAGCTCTGGTAAATGAGCTGTTGGCATTACTGGAGAAGCTTGACTTGAAGCTACACTCAATTATTGTTGTTCCTAGGTGAGGAAATCCACCTGGTTGGTAATAAATGTTTAATAATTGAAGTTAATGTTTGCCTTTAAGGGGAAGAGTGGGTCTGCACTGTTTAGTCTCTCTTATCTTCTTGGTCTGTTGTGTCCTGGAGAAGGTTGCTGGCACTCACAGGTCTGCTTCAAAGAGCAATAATCAGAAATAACTTTCATTCTGTGTCCTAAGAAGAAGATATCTGGGCTCCTTGCTGCCTCATTAGAGCCATGAATTCCAGGCAGAGTGAGGAATGGATACAGCAATGCCATCAAAACCTCTTTGCTGACAGGGAGAAACCTCCTCTCAAAGCACCAGCAGGTCTGGAGCATCAGGTGGGTCTCAGTTTTGCTGCTGTTTGGTGTTGATTTATGACAGTGGCCAAGCACAAGGGGGTTCACACTGGAGCTGAGTCCCTGCAGCACTCCTGGCACACTGACATACTGCAGTGGGGGCTCTGAAAATCACAGTCTGACATGCAAATAGTGATCGTGATTTAAACTGATCCTGGCTGGATGGGGAGGAGCAGCCCTGGGTACCTCTGGGACTGGTGAAAGACTTTGGTTGCTCAAAATCTCAGCCACTACCTGCAGGAGAAGGAGACACTGCTCTGGGAGACACTGCTCTGGGAGCTGGGCTTGCATCACCATCCACAGCAGTGTGGAGTGGCACAGAGGTGGCATCAGCTGCCCAGGGACTCCCTCCAGAGAGGCCTTTTTGCTTCATTGCTCCTGGGAGAGAGGACCTCATCAGGCAGGTGGTGTCCACATCTTCTGGGTGATCTTGTCTCCACATCCTTTGACATTATTTGCTTAAAAATCTTTCTGCAAAGTGGAGCTTGCAAATGGAGCTTGTTTGTGGGGCTTGCAGGACTCTGTCCCAGCAAGTGAGACCTTGAACCATGGGCCAGTTCTACCCATGGTAGGATTCCCTCTCCACTCTGTAGGCTTTAGAAGTACAACTGAAGTCAAAAAATGGTTTAAGCACCTGCTTTTGAATCCTATTTGGGGAAAAAAAAAGAGGGGTTGCCTTTTTCTGAAGGTTTAGTATTTAAAGCACTAATTTCATCCCCATACCAGTAACTGTTGCTTATGTGGCAGCTTTTTCCCAGCTCCAAGCCATGCACTTTAGCTGATATTCCCAAACTTTATTCTGGGGAACACCACAGGAAGGGTTCATATTCCAGTCTCAGCTGCCTGAAGAGCTCCATAAACACACAGATTTCCTGGAGCCCTCCCAGGCTCTCCCTTCTCCAGCTGTGGTGCCTCCTTCCACAGGTTCCTGCAGCTCCATGGAGAGGGAAACCCCAATCCCTGCAGCATCTGCCTGGCTGCAGCACTGACCCCAAGCCCAGCCTTGGCTGGCATTGCTGCTGGGGAGTTCCCAAAGCTCCCCCCACGTTTCTTCTGCCTTCCTGTCTCCAGGGAGATCTCACAGCAACACCTTCCAGTGTTTAAGAAGGGTCTGGAGGAAAGCTGGGGAGGGATCCTTTACCAGGGAGTGTAGTGATAGGACGAGGGGTGATGGCTTCAAACTGGAAGAGGGGAGGTTTAGATTAGAAATTAGGAAGAAGTTCTTCACTCTGAGGGTGGTGAGACACTGGCACAGGTTGCCCAGGGGAGCTGTGGATGCTCCATCCCTGGAGGTGTTGAAGGCCAGGCTGGATGGAGCTCTGAGCACCCTGCTCTAGTGGGAGGTGTCCCTGCCTGTGTCAGGGGGTTGGAGGATGATCTTTAGGGTCCCTTCCAACCCATCCTGTGATTATTACTGTTAATAGCACCAGTCACTCCCCTTCCCCCTGTGACTTCTCCAGCAATGGCACCAGCTGCCTCTGCCCAGCAGCTGTTGGACCAGGGCAGCCCCAGTGCTCTGCTCAGAGCCCTGGGGAGCTGCTGGCTGCCAGGGACTCCAGAGCCTTGGCTGTCCACCAACCCTGAGACCTGCTGAGCCACTTCTTACCCAAACAAAGCCGGGGGTGTGTGTGTGTGTGTGTGTGTGTGAGTGGAATGTGAGGAATGAAGGATCTCCCTGCTCCTGCCCCTGGGGGAGAGCAGGCAGGAAATCCCCACTGCTGTGGAAGGCCTGGGGCTCTCCTGTGGCAGCCTGGGCAAGCCTGGTGCCTCCTCAGCATCCCAGGTCACAGGGAGTGTGACCCCACCACCACGAGAGGACTCCTGTCAGGGACCTGTGCGGGGCTGGCTGTCTGAGTTCACCCAGGAGAGCACAAAATAACAGTGCCAAGGAGAAGGAGGAAGGTGAAACGGGCAAAATAGAAGAGCCCAGATCTCCCCACGGGGTGCTGGCTGTGGGGAAGCTGCTGAGGTTCCAGGAACCACCTCTGCAACTCGTTTGGCCGTCCACGCACAGGCAGTGAGGGGGAGGAGACTGCAGGAGCTCATGTTCTGCTGAGGAAGAGCTGGGGGGCCTGATTTCAGGATAAAAACCACCTTTTATTGCCTGGAGCCAGAGCGAGGAGCAGCCTTACAGGTGTGGGGTAGAGCCTGTGGCCAGGGGAAGCAGAGAGAGCACCTGGCAGCCTCTGGGGTGCAACTGCAGGGATTAGAGCAGCTCACTTGGGGTGTGATTTAACACCCACTGCAGTGTGGGAGTCGCTGCTGGAACAGGAGCTGCTGGTTCTGCCTCTTGGGCACTAAATTGAAGGATTTTAATTATTTTTTTCTTAAATGCCAGCCTCATTTTCTTCACTGGGGCGTGATGCTGGGGGATTTTGGCATGAGGAGCTAATTAAGCAGCAGAGGGTGCAGGGGTTAATGTAAATGTACTCTGTGAAAGGTCGATCTGGTGCCTGTG